TTCTGCTATTCTTTACAGTTGTGCATATCTTTTAGCTACAAGCTTGCTTTGTATCGCTGTATGCTCCCATCGGGATGCCGCTTGATTTTGAACATGTATTTGAGTCCAATGGGTTCCTTTCCTTCCGATAGATTCACCAATTCCCATCTTTGATTCTGCTATATTGCTTGCATCTCTTTTAACATTGCATTTTTCCATGCTTGACTTTCTACAGCTTTCTTGAAGCAACTAGGTTCAATAACATACAAAGCAAAATACATTTTTTCGTAAATCTCCCTTAACGATCTGAATTTCTCTGGTGGAGTCTCACTGGAAGAATCACTTGAACAAGAACTGATGCCACTTCCTTGGTGGGTTAAGCTATGATCACTTGTTGGAGAAGAGGTTCTGGATTGATGAGTATCACAACTGCTACTTGTTGGGGAAGATCTGGATGTGTTCCCTGGAACAGAAACTGCTACAGGTTCTTGCTGAAACTGCTGCAGATTCTTGTTGAAAAGCTCCTTCAGTAGGCGACAATTTAATATTTGAACTAACATTCTCATAATCAAAGTTCCCGCTAGAATCTTCATTAAACATAACATTTCTAATGATCACAATTTCCCACTTAGTGGATTATATAAATTATAAGTTTTGGATTGTGTGCTATATCCAACAAAGATACATTTCATTGATTTTTCCATCAAGCTTATATTTAGCTTAGAATATATTAAAGAATAAGCAATGCATCCAAAGACACGTTAGTGGCTTACCTTGGGCTTGTTACCTCTCCATGTTTCATATGTTATTTGATTAAGAACAGCCTTGGTGGATGAAATTTTCAGCATGTAGACAGCAGTAGCAACAACTTCAGCCCATAAATATTTTGGTACACCTCTATCTTGAATCATGCTTCTAACCATTTCAACGACCGTCCAGTTCTTGGGTTCGGCAACACCATTATGCTCCGGCGTATATGGTGTTGCGAGCTCTCTATGAGAACCATTTTCCTCGCAATAGGTGTTGAATTCATTTGATATAAATTCACCACCTCTATCTATTCTAAGAGTCTTAATTCTACGAACACTTTGTCTCTCAACAAAAGACTTACATTTCTTGAAATTTTCAAATATTTCTGACTTGAATTTCCAGAAATATACCCAACTCATTCGACTATATCATCCGTAAAAAGCAAAAAGTAGCACCTAAGGACTCAACAATCATAGGACCACACATATCATCATGCACCAATTCAAGACAACAGATGCTCTCCAAAACATATCTACAAGAAATGAATTTCTATTTTGTTTTCCATACACACATCCTTCACAAAATTCAAGAGAATAAATTCTAGGCAAACCACGAACCATATTTCCACGACCTAATAATTATAACCCCTTACATTGAAGTGACCATTCCGCAAATGCCATAAATTAGCTTCTGTATTTCCTTTGGTAAATAACGCGAAACTTTTAACGTCAGAAACTTCAATTGAAATGCATCTACTGACTACATGAAAAATATAAATGGAGAAGACCTTGATGAATCTCCTATTAACTGCGGGTTCGTTAGGCCTAGTGTAGCTTGTAGTTACTCATTACTGATAAAACCTTTGATAGTGGGAAGGTAGAACACATGTATTATTACTGATAGGCCTAGCATGTTTTATGACTTGTTCCTCGTTAAAAATGGTTGTGGTTAAGTATTAGTACTCACTGAGCTAGCGTTTCACTACTCACTGATTGTTTTTACGAAGAGCTCAGGTGGTATTGAAGAGGATTTTATTAACTAGCGTGTAAATTGGTAGCATCTATTCAGCCCCGAATTGCTTCGTGAGGAAAGAGAACTATTGATTTGCTATGTTTATTTAGTTTCTTTTAAAAATTCATAGAGTCACTCCATTTGTCATTCCTTTGATTTGAGTAAAGATTAGTCCTTCAAAATGTAGTAAAGTGACTAGTTTGGAACTTTTTCTATAATTATAGATTAATTGGTTTAATTGTGTGACAATTAGATCATTGATGGATATCATGTTGTGGTTTATAGTTTCAATTAGTTGTGTTGTGAATTTTTGAGACAAGAAAATTCAGGATAGGCCTAAATACAAAGGAAACAGTGCTTGTTAATCTGTAGAGTTGTGGTAAGGCTTGCTTTGGGATTATCCCCCTTAGCGACGGTCACGTTCCTAACTTGGATCGTGACACTACAACCCTAGCTGGAATGCAAGGAACATTACAAAATTACATGAATACATATATAACTATTCAACACAAGATGCCCAAACATCATGCAAGAATTGCACAACTCAAGTTATCCACCAATATACATATCCACATGAGTACTTTTCGAGATAACACAGTTGTGCCAATCGATATTCAAAATTTAGAAAAGAATGAGAATCAAAACAAATAAACCAAAACAAAAGAAACTATACTATCAAAGAAAATAAGAAGTTAACTACCATCAAGTTATAATTATAATCCAAGAGGTATGAAAAATAAGAGTATTTATCAAAATTACAACCCAATCAAATAAAACTCCCTCTAGTCCACAAAAAAATAGACACTGTCCTCTAAGCCACAAAATTAAGTAGAAAATCATAGAGAGATTAAGAGGGTTGCCTTGACATCTAGGGAAGTAAAGAGGTGTGGCCAACTGGTGCAGCCTCATTTAGGGCATCAATGCCCTGCTCATCGCACAGGTAGGTGTAATATGCTCTTTAGTGGCTTGGACCCACTAAAGCCAATTATAGAAGTGTCACAGAGGGAAACCTCATTAGAAATTTGCAGAATCACCTTCTCAAGGTACTACAACTCCGCATTTTGATTAACTGTCGGGCTATAAGTATCGTTTCCTCCTCAGAACCTATGCTCTCCTGCTCAACCTCCAAGGTCTCTGAATTATCAGTAACTCGAGGCTCTAGGTATTTATCACAAGAACTTCTATGTGTGCGCCCTCCGGTATACTAGAATCACTCCATAATATGAAATATCAATGAATTTTTATTCATCCACATCATGTATCAAGTCTTTTATCCAGGCATATAATACATGAATATGTTTCTCATACACCCGTAATCTTTCCCTATGCCCCTCGTATCTCTTCCTAAGGGGTACAAGGGAGTCTCTATAGCCCGGTAAATCATGGAGGGAACCTTTGCCTTAAGACGAGAGGCTCGCTCAGCTGTAGGATATGCAAGGTTACACAATACCAATCCAAAACACAGCCTCTTAAATTAAAGGAGGGTGAGAAAGAGTAGCAATTATAGAAGTACCTGAGGCATAGACAAAGAAGTGAGAGGTATAGACTCACCATCCAATGATTCTACATAAACAACCAGGGATTTATCCACGTGGTCTTCTTCTGTTTGACCTTATCTTAAAGGTACTCAACTTCAATCCAACGAATATCACATGCAGGTTGGGGTGATCTCTATACACTTCTTCTCCATAAAAGAAACAACTGTCTTTTGGCGCTGTGATGGGTATGTATTTCTTAGCCCTCATGTCTTTATCCAACGCAATTATTGAACCCATATTTAGAATCTCTTTAGCGATGATCAACCCTAACAGATCATCTTTTGTATGGCGGAGAATAGACTCGTTCAGAGATGGCATCAAAGAGATACATAAAAACCTAAACCAGTATCGCATGGTGATGTGCATACACTTCTTTTTGATTATCACTCCCTCCTTAATCTAAGGAGTTGAAGTCTCACTCAAGAATGGGGTAATCCAACCCCTCAGCCCATCTAATGTCTTTTCAAGCTTATTGGAGAACTTGTGACAAATTCGTACAGTGCAGTCCAATGCATTATTAATATCAATTTTTCTACACTTCACTTTCCCACTTGAAACTTGAACAGCTTCAATAGGGTCAAGCCAAAACTTTTTCTTCTTACCTCTTGGTAAAAATTGTGTATATACATCATAATATTCCCTCACCTAATTGAGAACATACGGGTGATAGGGCTTTGTGAACGACACAAATTTATGAAACCTTATAAGGTCTCGCCAAATCTCAGAATATTTATTTAACACACCATCCATGAACAATCGTGTCTCCTCAAGAATAGTATGCATTCCCACAACTTTGATATGATTAAGAATACTAGGGGCTAAAACCCACAGGGATAGAATAGAAGTTGGAACAGGCTCTGCGGTAGTAATAAGATAGTGATGGCCTTGCAAAAGAATCTCACTCCTCTTTTGATTAACGGATTGTGCTTCTGGGAGTTGATTGAAGCAATCATGAAATTACAACAACCCAATCATGAACGATAGCTAGAACTCTAAGAACATCGATTCAAGAAACTTATAAAGTTATGTAAAATAACAAAGAGTTGACGAAGAACCAATAAAGATGATACATAGGGGGACTAGGAATGATGGAAATGAGATGCAGTTATGATAAACTTGATTGAATTATTTAAAAAAAGTATGAAACTAAGAAAGAAATGTGGATGAACGAAAGGAAAAAGAACAATGCAATAATTTAAAGGGATTAATTTAAAAAGTCAAAAAGACCACCGGCTCTTCAATTCACGTCCATTTGGCGAGCTCGATTAACTCCGACCAAGGTCGTCTCAACAAGTTTAGCATTCTTTGTTGATGTGCTTATTTATTATCAACAAAAATTATTTTTATTGTAGTGGTGTTGCTATGAGTAAAGGCTCGAGAAGGTTGGATATACACAAACATAATAAAGTAAGAAGGTAAACAATGAAAAGTTCTAATTAAAACATATAATATAAAATTACTTTAACAAAACTTGGGTACACTTAATAAATGTTAGTTATTGAACTATGACTGTTGGCATGTGATTGCCAAGCCTTATGAACAGTGTATTGTGAAATTGTTAGACTGAGCTGATTTAATGCAGTTTGTAGTCTAGACACTTCAATTAGGATGAAATGATTATTGTATTCTAGCCTAGTTTTTTGCTGAGTATTGTGTTGTTTAATAGGTTTCTTGTTGAGTATTGTGTTGTTTAATACTCACCCCTAACTTCTACACTGGTAGGTTTTGAGCTCCGGTCTGTGCGATTGTTCTGCTTCTATTTTTAAGGCTTCTGAAGGAGCTTGAGAGGTAGATGTCTGTCATTCCTATGGGCCTCTTGTTTCTTATTTTATGTTTTGCTCTATTCCATAGTAAAAAACATTGATACTTGCACTTATATTTCAATTGTTTATTACTATTAGTGGCTTTTAAACGTGACAACCAAGTTTTGATTTATATTAGAATGACTAAGTTTTCCGCTCTTATGTGATTTTTGTTCTACTTTCCACTTTTATTCGTGTTGTTGGGTTTGAGACTGACAATTTTTGGTGGCAATAGATGAGTGTCATCACGTCCAATTTTGGATCATGCCATTGAAGAAGGAAAAAAAAAGAACTAATGTGTGAGAAATATTAAATATACAACTTAATTTTGAAAAAATATAAAATGTACCTACATAGATTTTATTTTTTTGATATAAATCTTTTAAAAAAATTAATTTAAATTAAAAAGTTTTCACTTCTATTAGACAAAGATGGTATATTTGAGTCATTTGTGTAATTATATGAGTATTTGTGAGCCCCTTTTGTAATGACGGGTATATTTTTACTATAAATTGCCAAATTGATAGATGTATCATGCTCTTTTACCCTAATTACTTTCAGGTCCAGTAAAATTTATCCTCTTTTAATCGAGTTTATTACTTATTATATTAATTATTAAAAATATGGTTTAGTATAAAGAGTATATATGCTCTAGCTTTGAACGGAAGGGCGAGCACCAATGTCCAAAAGTATGACAGAGGGTATCTGCATACCATTTATGTTAGTTCAGGTTATATTTGTTCTCTTCCCATTTATAAATAACAAAACATAAATACTAATCTCAAACCAAATCTTTTGTGAGAGAAAAACAGAACACAACGCAATTCTTATCTTGTCTTAACACTTTATATTCTTTAAAATTTTCCCTTATTTTTTGTGATATAAAATTCTATGTGTCTTCACATGTATAATCAACTTATTTTCTACTATATAAGTAGAATACGAGATAATGCACAAGTATCCCCTCAACCTATGACGAAATCTCAGATACACACTTATACTATACAAAGGTCCTATTAACCCCCCTGAACTTATTTTATTAATAATTTTCTACCCCTTTTTGACCTACATGGCACTATCTTGTGGGCCCAACGCTAGTTGACTTTTTTTTCAAGCTAGTTCCACATAGGCCGAAAAGAGGTATAAAATTACTTATAAAATAAGTTCAGGGGGTAATAGGACCTTAGTATATATAGTATAAGTGTGTCTCTGAGATTTCGGGCATAGGTTGAGGGGGTACTTTTGTATTTTCCTATAGAACACTTATATTCTTTTTCTCTATCTTTACTCATCAATCAAAAGGTATGTAAAAAATTCTCTATATATTTCTTTTCTCTTTGTTTGTTTTTAGCTATTCTTATAGAAATTGAGTGTCTACACAAAAAATCCAATAGAATAACACTTGATTTTTTTTGTTTCTTCCATAAATTTGTTTTATCAAACAAAAATTAGCAAAAAGAAATGACAAATTCTGGGGAAGAGCCTGATGAAGAATGATCGAATTCCCTTAAAGGATAAAAAAGGCATAGCAGACACAGTATCTAACAAATCCAAAGACTTGAAGCGTACGATAAATTTTTTTAAAAGAACTTTATCCTTCATATATATATTAAAAAAATTAATTTTTTTTGTTTAAACATTTGATCTTATTTTCTTAAAATGAATGAGTGATAAATTCAAAATTATTAGAAATAGAATAATTTATTTTTTGTATGTGTTTTTTGTGTATTAATTTATATTTAATTTTTTTTGGTGTTGCTTCTTTCTCTTGCTATCCATATGGCCATTCAAATTTAATAGAAGATATGCACTTTTGATTTCACTTTTAATTTTTTTATTGAGTTTCTAAAATGGTTTTGAAATAATTTATTTGGATGACTAATGTACTAGTTATATACAACTTTATCAATGATCGGTTTGTTCTTCATTATTCATTAATAACGTTAGGACAAGTAGATGAGTTTATTTACTTTCAATTTCTTTCTCATTTTTGCACCAAAAAAGCAAACACTCTTTCTCATGATGTCGGTACCCCCTTTGAGGCTTAATAGATATAGGTTTGCATCTAAAATAACTCTTTTAAGGTCCCAACTAATCCAAATCTCTTCAAGAAAAATCGTTATAGTTGCACTACATAGATTTGCATTCAAAAGTCCCACTTTAGGAAGGTTAGTTCATAGTCACATTAGAAAGCCTTAATTTGAGTGATAAACTACTCCCTGCAGAAGTTGACAACTCTTGTACCAGGACTCAAAATGAGGCCTCTAGTTAAGGATTAAGGAGTACTTACTGCTCCTAAATCTTTGAGGAGTATCTGGTACATGATCTAGGCTCAACTAATCAAGATTCGAGTGGGGAATTGAGTCTCATTTTAGGGTAAAACGTTTCTTAACAAGGAGGATTTAGTTCCAATGCTCAAACTTGAGACCCTGGTTTATGATGAAGAAATACTACCAATCCACCATGCTTTTTATGTCACGTTTTTTTTACTTTTTCATTTTTAGGTTTATTTTTTTTAAATGATAAATAAAAGTTTTTTTCCTGAATTTTCAATGAAGATTCTTCGAGAACTGTCCGCTTTCAAATGAAAATCAACAAAATCAATTGGCTAGGAAAGCAGAGCTTGAATCTAAGCAGGTCAGGATTTGGTATCAAATCAAAACGACATAAATAAAGGTAATTCTAATTATTTATTTCTTTTTCTATCAAATAAATTATATTTAATTAAAGGTATGTTGTTGTTGTTGTTGTTGTTAGTATTATTATTCAACAAAACAACAAATTTGTATTTTATGAATTAATTTTTTCAAAAATCTAGTAAAAGTGAATATAAAGGTAAGATCAATGTATGACATGGCTAGTGAATCTCTTGTTAAATTATTTCTCTAAAATGGGTTAAGTTGTTAGAATGTGTTAGTAAATACGACAATTTCTTCGTCTTATTAATTAGGTTATTTACTTCCACTTTCATTTTTATTTTTTCCTCCTTGTACAATCAATTCAATTATTCGTGATTGAACTTTTGAATTTCAATAAAATTTTCCTAAATCAGTCATTTGTTTTTGCTTCGTTGAATAGATCAATATATTTGGATGTATGTTCTTTGACTCACTAATATATTCACTAAAGAAGCTTCTTTTCATTATAGTTATTTTTATCATCCGGCCTCTAAGTTGATTGACTTGTTGCTTAGTAAACTAAATGATAATGTTAAATTATTCAAAGTACATAAACTCGCAAGCAAGTTCCATAACTTGCTAAGGATTTTTTAGAATTTAAAGTTGGAGAAATTTGGTGTTGAAACTAAGAAATAATGATTTTTGTTTTCTATATTATTTTATAAATGAAGGAAATGTTGCGATATTAAATTGATGGATTGTACTAAGTCCAGGCTAGTCAAAATAATTTATACCAATAAGCCAATTAATAAATTATTTGTGTTGGGCTTAATATAGACCACAACCGAATTTTCCAACTCTAACCAATTTTATTTTTTACTATAGTGTTTTCTCGTTATTTGTAAAGTTAAGATACAAAGTAATACATCTAAATTGATCATGTACAGGCTAAGAATATGGTCTTTGATGAGGAATTCCATAGTTATTGAGGATCCTCAAGAAGAGAAGGATAGATTTTATCTAGAAGACTAGATGGGTAGGATCTAAGGCATAGTATGTCAATGAGTAAAAGTTGTAGTACTTGGGAGGTGTGAGGAATAGGAATAAGTAGGCATCTTAGTATGTTCTAATCACAAATTAGAAGCACAAAAAGGAGCAGTCACTATAGAACAACATTTTTGATGTCTTAGCTAACAAAAGAAACAACCAGGAACAAAAAATCACAAGGATGATTAGGTCAAAAGTGAGGATCATACTTGGTAGTTTTATGGGTTTACTGTAGTTGTATCAACTCCTTGCAGTTCAATCTGCACTGATTGTGAAATTACTTAGTAAAATAAACAATTTTCGGTGAGTTCAAGGTTTGTATGTTTTGGATCTAGGCCTTACCTTACGATACGAATGTGACAATAAGTGTCTAGTTTTAGATGTCTTTATTGAGTAGACACTCATCATATGGAGGTTCAATCTTACTTCCACAAACTCTTGATCAAATAGAGGAACAAGGTCATTGTACTGGGGAAGTTGGAGCACTCAAAGGGCATTGCAATTTTGAGTGTTATATGTGTAATAAAGTTGAGGCCTTTGATACGAGTTTATAAAGGACAAAAAATAAGGTTAAGAGATTAGTATATTGTTGAGTTGTCTCACTTATTCTTCTACACTAATAGTCTCACTATTAGTTTGGTTATTAATTATGAAATTTTACGCTTCTATTATTGTGTTGTCTTATTATGGATATTGTTTAGGATGATTTGATAGGTTATCTACAGAATTGACAAGAATTTCTCCATTTTGTATTTCTTTCTTTATAATGTATTGGTCTATATTTTTCTTGAGACAGGGGTCTATCAGAAACAACTTTTGTACCTCTGTGATAGTTCTATGATATGTGCACACGTTATCTCTCAGGCCCCACTTTCGTTGATTTACACTGGTATGCTATTGTTGCCTATATACGTATAATAAGTTAATTTATAAATTATTTTGAGCTAAATATTTAGTTTATATCAATTGAATTTTAATGATGTTATACCTTGATTCTTGCCCAATTTCCCCCCATGAAATATGCCTAGCAAAACACGTTAAGATTGGGTAAATTAAACTTTCATGGACTAATTTTTTCACCTATGTAAGCATTCTTCAGAATATATATTTCATATGATGAAGAGAGTGTATGTTGTTCAAAATTAGAGCAGGAATTTAAAATTTTAAGCAAAGGTGGAAGGTGAAAATAATGTTCACGGTTTTATTTTATAAAAGGCTTAATTTGGTCCATCAATTATTATAAAATTCTCATTTTGATAATTGTAATATCTTGCTCAGTAACTAAACCTACAGTTAATTGGAATGTGTACTTTTGATTCCTTTGATTGTGAATGTTCACAAATTTAACATAATGATTAGTTGTACAATTACTTAATTATCTATGTATTATGTTAAATTTGTATTGTTGCTCAATGTTTGATTATAATATAATTTTAAAAGTAGTTTATACAACATACGTGTAACACTTTGAAAATCCAAGATGAGTCTTAGAGAACATAGGTGTCATGGGGTCTAAGCACTTTTTTAATACCTATTATAATGAATATAGGTTACTTAGGAAGTTTAAGAACCAAAACGTCCAAGAACGTCCATGACGTCTGTAAGTTGGTTCAAATGGGTACTAGTGTGCCTTAGACTATTTGACTAGCTTTTAGGAGTTGGAAATTTATGACAAGTGTTGAAAGGATAGATAATAAGTTCTTAAGTTGTTTCATGGTCGAAACGTCTGGGTACGACTCCCCAAGGACCAACCAAGGGCCCTTGAGGAGGACCCCTGTAGGTTGAGGCAACACTGGCTTAGCATTGTGCATCGACGCGATAGGCTACGATCCGTGTGTTGACTGACGGGGCGTTGGTGCCACCGTTGTTCCATACTTAGCCAATTTGAGGAATCCACTCACCTTCACAAGTCTCTGAACTTACCTATGAAGTGCAGGACGGGGGAGGGGGGGTAGTCCGTTGACTCATAGACGTTCCGTCAATGGGGTTCCGTCTGTGAGGGTCTTAAATTTCCTGCACGTTTTTAATTAAGCTCATTTAATTAATTAAATGGTTTAGTAGTTAGTTTGGTATTAAGGGAAAAATAATAAACTAATTTAACTCCCATATAAAGGCCCCAACCCAAATTATTCTAATTACAACTCTCAATACAAACTATCTTCCTTCTCTTTTTTTTCTCTCTGTACTTGAGATCACCATTGAAGACTACCAAGGAAAGGGTTTGGGGATTGAAAGGGACGAATTCACCACAAGTTTTCATCAAACGTTAAGGTGTGGGATCTAATTCACCTTTGAGACTCTTTCCTGAAATGACTCCTTCAAATTAGATTTCAAAAGTTGAGTTTCCATGTGGGTTTCATCCAATTACAAAATTAGTATTGTGAACTGATTTGTTATGGTTTCTTTAGATTTAATGGATAGGTTACTGTGTAATTGAACTTGATTATGATTAATTTTAATTGTTTAATTTAAATTGAAGAATATGATCTTTAACCCTTAACCCTAGATTTGATCTTGATGTGAATTGGGTTTTGATTGATTCAATTGTCTTGCTTATGGGTTAAATAACCATTAGGTGATGTCTTTACAATAATTATTAACATTTTGGAGTGAATTTTAGTCTTCCATGCTAGTCTTGAGAAGATGATCTAGGTTAGAAAGATAGTTGACCTAGGCATCTTATTTATGGTCATGATCTAGTATTGAATTGTCCTTTAGTGTTTATTCTAGTATTGTTATCATATTGAATATTGAATTATGATGTTGAACATCTAAATTGGATTGAATTGAGGGCTTATGGTAAGGCCTTGATGATAAACTATGAGGAAGACTTGGTAAGACTAAGAATGTATATCTTTACATTCAATTATGATTAATTGTGGTTAAGTCATGATGTCATATTGGAGTATGCCTTGTATTAGGATTGATAGGGTGGTATGATGTTGAATTGAAATGTCTTAACTATGGTTGTGAGGTTGTTAAGATGTAAAGGGTTATAAGGGTGGTGAGGTATACGAATGTGCCTTATTATGAAATGATATGTAATGTGTTAACCTCCCTTATATGAATAGTGACAAAAGGACTTACACTCATACAATTTTTATTGAGCTATTGATGATAATTTTTATACAAGGGGTAGACCCTATAACTTAAACTAAGCTATTGTTGATAATTAAAGGCTAAAAGATATTTCAAACAGGGACTCTAGCTTAGCACCGAGTGACCTAGATTGAGGAGTGTCCCTTTCCACATAGGGAAGGTAGGAGAACTAAATTACTCTTGACATTGGAGATTGTAATGCATGGTGTATAAAGAGGGTCCCAACTATATCTCCTAGTTCTTGAACTATGTTGTCCCCATAGGAATACTAGCTAGTGGATCTACATAGTTGCTATGTTTCATGTTTTGATACTACTTTGGCAAGTTGTCCAAAAAGTTAAAATGAATTAAAGGATTTGAACTCTAACTTGGATAACCTAAGGGGTCTAACTTAGTTTAGGTAGGGGTATGGGACTCTACCTACAGATTTCACTAGTTAGCCTTGAAAGGAGTCTTAGGAGGATGTTCTTATATATGTTATGTAATGAAGATATATGTTATTTACATAATGAACTTGCACCATTGTTGATTCCATATGTTGATTAATTCACTTATGAGTATGTGTTGGGTTTATATTGTTAAAATAAGATGAAATGCATATCTAAATGTTATACTATGTGGAGTTGGACATTTGTTATGGTTTCTTGTTTGGGCTACTTGATTGAGTAAGGTTATTACACTATGCTTGGTCATTGAACTTGTTGGCTTGACAAGGATCCATGAGTAGCTGTCTTGTTTATTATGATATGATTAACTCTTAGCCATGCTTATGATGTTATTCCTTGATGATAGGGTTGTAGTAAATAATGGGTTCAAGTATGTTGGGATACATATTACTTGTTTGAGTTTGTAAGCATGTTTGGTTGATAGTATGACTTGCTTGGTTATGAATGAGACTTTTAAACTTGTAAAATGACATGTCTTGACTAAAAGTCCCGTTTTAGCATGTTATGCTTTTATGTGTGCATATGGTTTTATACTTAGTAAATGTGGAGTACTTATCCCGTTTTCTTCCTTTTCCCCCAACATTTTTAGGTTCCGGTCATTGAAGTGTTTTGGAATGCGACATTGAAGAAGGCTTGGGTTCCTTATTCATCCAAGTTGGGTAGGTCCTCAACTTTCGAGGGCAATACCACTATCTATCTTAAGGACTTGTTATGAGTTTAATACTCATTCATTTCTTTCCTTTTCAATTGTGTATTATATTTTCGTATGACCTATATGTGGTCTTGTTGGA